GCCTCCAGAACATCTAAAGGACACTTAAAATTCAATAATAAAAAACAAGTAATCTAATTTAAAAATTGTCAAAGGATCTGAAAAGGCATTTCTCCAAAGAAGGTATACAAATGGACAAATAAGCACATGAAAACACGTTATCATTAATTATCAGGGAAATGCAAGTCAAAACCACAGTGAGAGATACCACTCCACACGCATTAGGATAGCCTTAATAAAACAGGACAGATGATAACAAATGTTGGTAAGGATGTGGCGAAATTGGAAGTCTAATGCCTTGCTGGTGGAATGTAAAATTGTATGGCCACTTTGGAAAACAGTCTGCTAGTTTCTCAAAAGTTTCAACAGAGTTATCGCATCACCCAGCAATTCTAATCCATTCTAATTTTAGGTGTATATCCTAGACAAATGAAAACGAATGTCTACATAAAATCTTGGATATGAATGTTCAAAGAAGCATGATTCATAATAACCAAAAATGGAAACAACCCAAGTGTTCATCAGCTGATGAATGGATAAGCAAAATGTGATACATCTACACAATGGAGTATCATTTGGCAGTAAAAAGCAATGAAATGTTAATACATGCTACAATATGGATGAACCTTGAAAACAATATAGTAAATGAAAGAAACTAGTCAAAAGGACCACATTTGATTCTATTTATATGAACTGTCCAGAATAGGCATAGTCTATAATTTATAAGTACAGATATTATTAGCGGTTGCCTGGGGATGGGGCCATGGGGAAGTGGGGAGTGATTGTTAGTAGTTATGGTATTTTGGAGTCATGAAAGTATTCTAACATGGATTACAGCGATGATTGCATAACTTAGTATATATACTAAATACCATTGAATTGTACACAGAAAATGGGTTTAATTGTATAAGTGAATTATAACTTAATAAAACTGTGGAGAACAAAAAAGTCCTGGCAGCATCTGGCAGCATCCCTCCCTTTTGAGCTCTGCATCTCAGTGTCCAGGCTGCCTAACTGGAGGCTCTGTTGACTCAGGAGCACCGCAGGGCCAGACATCCAGCCCTGGCCACCACCTGCCTGCAGCTGCATGAGTGACCCCCAAGCAAGAGTGACAGAGGAAATGCCCAGTTGAGCTCCAGGTGACCTATGCAATACTAAGGTTTAATTTAGTGATGGCTGTTTAAAGCCACCAGGCTTTGGGGTCGCTTGCTACATAGTAAAACATAATTGGAACAAGTAGTAAGTCAAATTTTTGCTTTAACACTGTGACACATATTACTACTAAAATCAAATCCTTCGAAAAGCTTTGTTTTAAAGACAGGAAGTGGATAGGGACATTACTTCATTTTAAGGGGAAATGAAATAAGGAAGCGCTCAGGGCGGTGAGGCATGCTTTAAATGGCAAGCCTAACCAATCCAAGCAGGCCTGCCAACCCGTCTCTTTTCTAAAGCTCACATTGGCAACAGCAGCTAAACAAACACTTGTCCAGAGGCCACCAGCTACTTAGCAGGGGCCCTGGAGGGCTGACAGGTCATGTTTCTGGTTACAAGTGGTGACATAAGTAAACTTTCATCCCCTTGTCCTCCCCATACCCTGAAAGGAAAATTGCTGAGCTGGAAGGAACGGCATGGTTAGAAACAGATAAAGGCCAGATGTCTGTGTCCGTATCTTAAATGGAGAGTATTAACAGGGCAGAAATTCTTGATTCAGCTCACGTCATCCTGAGGGGTCATTTTTAATATACTCCTGGATAATGATGTGTAGCAGGGGAATGCATAGAAAGGAATTTTCATATATTCATTCAGCAAATACTTTTTGAGGACTCATTGTGCTAGGAAGTAACTGTGAACCGCGTAGACTGGGACGCTTGTCTCAGAACGCTGACAGCTAAGTGAGCAGGCGATTCCCCTGGGACTCTGAGAAGGACCTTGCAGGGAAGTAGGGGAGCCCTTAGAAGTGGCATGTGGTCCAGGTTTGTGGGATCAGAAATGACTTCGTAGAGGAAGTAATGTCTAAAACTGGAAAATTCCCGAGGGTCGTAATTTTACTCTTTTTTTTTTTTTCACTCTAAAAGACCTTATTTGATGGTCAAAAGAAATGAAAAAATGGTGGTAGTCCTATGTGGGCATGCCCATGGGCCCTTCAGTTCTCCTTTCTAGGTTCCATCACCGGTGTAGGCTCCCAGCTCTAGCTCCACGGGGCTTTCTCCCATGCAGTTGATTTGCAGGACCTTCCAGTATTCATTCATTGTTTGTCCAGTATTTTCTGAGCCATGTGATGTGTCTCTTTTTGTGGGTTTCACATCTTTTTGCCATTGCCTATTGATGGGAATGTTATCTCTTCCTGTAGAACAAATCACCGAAACTTAGTAATTAAAAAACAACAATGATATATTGTTGTAGCTGCCAGCCCCCGAAAGACACACGGACCACCAGAAATCAGTGAGTTACAGGAAACATGCTCTTTATTCAGCCAGCTGGGTCTGCCATGGGTACGCAGACCCCAGATTAAGCAACCCCGAAAAGTAGAGGTACAGGGTTTTTAAGCCCTAAATCCCATTCCTCATTCTGTCTTAAACACAAAGGTCTATTTTTCTCCTATTCACTACCTGTCAACCCACAGGTCAGGTGTGCAATGGGGGTACAGAAGCAGAAAGCTTATTGTTAGAATGTTATATTCCCATGGGTGATAGCCTATCTTCCAATGGGTGATAGCCTATGTTCCCATGGGCGATAGCCAAGCAGTAATTTTCCAGCCAGCACAATATTATTCCTCCCGATTCTGGGGATTGCACGGTGTTTCCTCTGCCGGTTTCATCTGGATTCATTCGTATGGTTGCTGGAGGGTCAGCTGGGCCGGAAGGTCCGGGATAGCCTCATTCATACGTCCAAGAACTGGTGCTGGCTGGTGCCAGAGCATCTCAGTTCTCCTTGTGGCCTCTTTACCTCCAGTAGGTGAGACTTGCTTCCTTACTGACGGTCTCAGAGTGGCGTTTCAAGGGGGCAAAGGCCAAAGTTGCAAGACCTCTGAAAGCCTTGCCTCGGTGTTGCATGATGTTGCTTCTCCATTTGGTTGGCCAGTGCAGTTCACAAAAGCAGTCCGGGTTCCAGGGAGGAGGGAGAAGGAGACTCAGCCTCTTGGTGGGAGAAAAAAATGAAGTCACATTGGAAAGAAGCATGAGAGGAGCTGTCGTAGCCATCTCTGCTCAGTCACCTATACATAGGTCTCTATAACTCATTCATTTGTGTTGATGCATACGCAGCAATTGTCCTTCCCATCTCTAAGAAGGGCCTGGTCATTATTATAGTGGAAATAACTCTTATGGCTCATCATCTCAGCGGTTACCGACTCTGTGAAACAGCCTCGCAACTCTTTCTGAGGATGGATTAACGTGCAGAAGAAGAGACTTTGGAAAGGTCTAAATGAGAAGGATTTTTAAATGCATTCTATTAAATGCCAAATACGAAGGTGTTTAATTCATTCTGTTCTATGCTAATAGCTTTATAAACACTCTTAATATAGAAGCATACATTTATATACTTAGAACTTTTTTCCCAGAGGTTTTTGATAACAGCAATCCAGGGAAGGAATTAGAATAGGTATTATCCTCCTCATTTAATGTGAGTTCGGAGATACCCAAGCAGTGAGAAATTATGTTGATTAGTTTGTGGCCAAGCTGTTTGGGTCTCACATTTCCTATTTCCCCATCCTGTTCCTTTTCCATGGCTTCTGAATAGTAGAACAGGATCAGGATGGGGGAAGACATGAGTTCCGTTTGGGGCTTGTTGATTTCGAGGTGTCTTTGAGATGCCCATGTGGAATATAGAACTGGGGCAGGCATATAAATGTGGGAATCCTTGGGGCATGGATGGTAACGTAAGCCACGATGACGAAAGAATGTGCCTGCGGAATGAGCAAAGAGGTGTATGGGGCACTGAATCTCAAGGAATTCCAGCCTTTAAAGTCCAGGGAGATGGGAAGGAATCACCACAAAGGTGATGGAAAAGGAGGTGAGAGCAGAGGCCTGGGAGGGAAGCCAGCACAGTGATGTCCCTCTGGCTGAGGGGAGTGGTCAGCAGCATCTAATGCTATTACTGTTCACCCAACTGGGGACTTACAAAATGCCCAACATATGTGGATGCAAGGGAGCACGCCTGTGCCCCAGCAGGAGGTTTTCTGGAGGGGCAGGGACAGAATCTAGAAGTGTCGAAGAGTGTTTGGGAAGATAGGTGTGAGAAACAAGTGACGTGGGGACAGGGGGACTGGAGAGGAGGGATTTAGGGACTGGCTTAGCCAGTTCAGGCTACTTTCATAAAAATACTTTAAACTTGATGGCTTAAACAATTTTCCATATTCTGGAAGCCGGGAAGTCCAAAATCAAGGAGCTGGCAGATCTGGTGTTTGGTGTGAGCTCTCTCCTTGATTCCTAGCCAGTGGTCTCCTTGTATCCTTGCAGAGAAAGAAAAAGCAAGCCCTCTTGTGTTTCTCCTTGTAAAGGTGGGAATCTCTTCATGGGGGCTCCACCTTCATGAAATTATCACCTCCCGAAGGCCCCATCTCCAAATACCATCATCCTGGGCGTTAACGTTTCAACAAGTGAATTTGGGGAGGACACGAACCTTCAGTCCATTGTCAGTAGTCTTCTTAGCATAACAGCAATTTGGGAAGTAGAATAATGTCTTCAAGAAAGAAATACTAGACTTTCTAGAAAGGTAGGGTGGAGCTTAGTCAGTGAATTGTAATTGCTTTTCAAGATGGCGAAACTGAATTTGGTCGGCTAACACTAGAGTTTTAGATTGTATTTTCAGTTTTTTTTTTTCTAATTACAAGAGTAAAATGCATCTTGTTCATTTCTGAAGCAGATCCTTCTCAAAAATTATGTCTAGAGAAGCATGTGACAGTCACATCTGCCTGTCTGACAGCTTTTCTGTGATACTTCACAGAAGCCGATGATGTAGGATTTCAAATGAGCTTTTTTCCTTTTGTGTATGTTTATTTTTCATCTCTTTCTTCTTTCCAGGCTGATGAGCCCTGAAAACACACTCCTACAGCCCCGGGAAGAGGAGGGGGTCAAGTATGAGCGCACCTTCATGGCGTCTGAATTCCTGGATTGGCTAGTTCAGGAAGGTGAGGCCACCACAAGGAAAGAGGCAGAGCAGCTTTGCCACCGGCTAATGGAGTATGGTATCATACAGCATGGTAAGTGTATAGGTCAGCTTTTGCTGTGGTAACAAGCAACCGCAACCTCTTGTGGCTTACAACAACAAGCATCTACTTCTCACTTGTGGGTCTGTAAGTCAACTGTGCCTTTGCTTGGGCTCAGCTTGGCTAATCTCCAAGCTGGGGGTCAAATTCGGGCACATATTCCATGACTTCTCATTTTGGGACCCAGGCTAAAGGAACATCCATTCTCTGGGACGTATTGTTTTTGCAGATGAGAGCAGACACTAACGAGGGCAGGTAGATTCTTGAAGTATCTTCAAAAACTTCTGTTCAGATGTGATGTAACATTATAGCTCTCATATCCGACTAGTGACAGGAAGTCATTTGGTCAGGTCTGGAAGGGAAGTAATGCCTCTCACAAAGCTGGTTGCAAGGGGAGAATGAAAATTTGCTGAACCATGCATGGTACGAGCTGCCACAGTGAAGAGTAATCCAAAAGGTGATAAATCTTTCACTTTCCTTTTAGGTCTGAATCATAATGATGCAATATAACCTATTGGCTAAGAACTGTATTAGTTACCTATTACTGCATAAGAAATTATCCCCAAAACTTAACATAAGTAATTACTCCCCAAACTTAATGGTGTCAAACAATAATAAATGTTTATTATCTCACACAGTTTCTGTGGGTCAGGAATTTGGGATAGACTTAGCTGGGCCGTTCCGGCTGGGGGTCTTCGTGAGGTCACAGTCAAGACATCAGCCAGGGTTACAGTCACCTGAAGGCTTGACAGGCTGGAGGATTTGCTCCCACATGGCTCACTCTTATGCCTAACAAGTTGGTGCTGGCTATTGGCAGGAAGCTTCAGTCTGTTGATGTACGGACTTCTTTATAAGGCTGTTTGAGAATTCCCATGACGTGGCCATCTGGCTTTTTCCAGAGGAAGTTGTCCAAGAGAGTGCAAAGTAGAAGCCATGATGTCTTCTAACTGAGCCTTGGAAGCCACATACTGTCATTTCCTTAGACTCTGCTGGTAACGAGGTCTGTCCTATACAAGGGCGTGAATACCAGGAGGCAGAGATCACTGGAGTCATCTTGGATGCTGGCTATCACAAGAACATAGGATCTGGAATCCCAGCCCCACCAGTTATTAGCTCCTTACCTTCTCTCATCTGTAAAATGGGGATACCCACATAGAGTGGTTATAGGAGTAAATGGAGTAGATATAAAGTACTTGGTTCAATGCCCAGCTCTCGACAAGTGCTCAGTCAATTTATTAATAGAGCTGTAAGGTATAGACTTCGAATAGTGAAGAAAGGGCTGGGAACCAGGGAGGCATTTCCGCCTAAGAGTCAAGGTGAAAGGTAATACTTGAGTCATTCTTTCTGCGAACTCCCATGCAGGCCTAGGATTTCTATCATGGCTGGGAAGATACAATGGAATTATAGAGATGAAAGAAACTTTTGAAAGTTTTTAGATCATGTTTTAAAAATTGCAGATTGCGATCCTTTCTTTAGTGGGTTGTGAACTAAATTTAGAGAGCCATTCGCATCATTAATTTCTTTTTATAGACTAGACTAGACTCTTACTACTCTAAGTGTGGCCCATGGACGGAATTATAGAGATGAAAGAAACTTTTGAAAGTTTTTAGATCATGTTTTAAAAATTGCAGATTGCGATCCTTTCTTTAGTGGGTTGTGAACTAAATTTAGAGAGCCATTCGCATCATTAATTTCTTTTTATAGACTAGACTAGACTCTTACTACTCTAAGTGTGGCCCATGGACCTAAAGTATCACTGGGAGCATGATAGAAATGCAGACACTCTGGCCCTATCCAAGTC